ATTGTTAACTGTATTTCCAAATTTAATCTTATAAAAACTTAAAGAGTATGAGTATTTAAAATTAGTATTTTGATTTTTTATCCCGCCTCGCACAAAAAGTATTGGCGTCAGTATTTAACACACCGGGCTCAGAATTCTTAGGACATTTAATCGTACTGCCCTTAATTTCAATATTCAGATCTAATATTTGTCGAACTTCACAAGAAACTGTATCGCTTATTCTAATAACGCAAATATTGTTAACAAAGATTCTCCTCTTTGAAGTATCTCCAGTTCGGACCTCACGCTTGTTCAATAAATAACATATAGATGTATGTATCGCCCTTTTCGCCACTTCAGTGCATGCCTTGTTGAAAAAAAAAACAAAAGAAAATTTGACGGTAGACTAAACTGCCAAAATAACGAATGCGGAAAATTCTAGGTTTTATTGGCTTGCAGGATATACATGAAAGCAAATAACTATATATCCGGAGGAAAAAAAAAACATACGTCTGCAATGCCTACCGTGTGTAGGATTTCAGTCAAATATGCGCTATGGCTAAATCATAGAAATTGTAGCTTTACAGTGAATATTTATACATTTTGTCAAGTTATAGTGATGAATGTCGAGTAAAGATACCGTAGAATCCTGGTTATAAGACCCCAAACTGCAGACGAAAAAACGGCTACAGAAGAAACATGTTTGGACTTCTAGTTTCCAGGAAATTCGCTCTCTTAGGGTTCGGTTACATGGGGCTCTAATGACCCTTTTTACTACGGGAAACTGCATCTAGTGAGTATGACCAATATTTCCGGAGGTAAATTTCCCGCGGTTAATACCCATGGATACGTCAAAAAGATCACAAGCGCCCTTGACATTTAATGTGGTAAGTTGCAATGGTGTTTTGATGTCCAAGGTATAAGAGCAAATCACGATTCTCCGTTTGACATTGATACATAACCGCAAAGGAAAAATGGTTTTACGCCGTGTGACATATTTTTACCTTAGCAAAATCAGAAATCCAGTGTGACTGTTGTTCACACCGTATACTAAAACTCAGCAAAAAAAAGTCAGCAGACATATAACCCCAAGTTATTTGGGCGGGGGGGGG